TGTTGTCCCCAAAGGACAGAGAGTTCGTGCCCGGTGTGCTTGTGCCAATAAACACACAGGGGTGAAGGATCCAACTTAACCTTTATTTCCTGCGCAGAAAGTGGTGCTTGGCAATCGTTCGCAAAGCAAGCACACCCACCCCAGTGGGCGTCTGCCTTATATAGCTACGTAACAGGTTAAACCTGCTGATGTGATGAGCCCTTCCAGCTCCCCCCCAAGTAACCCCCCTTCCAGCTCCAGAACTTTGTTGATACAGCTTTTCCTCTAGCGAGGCCAGCAATTATAAACAACCAAGCAACAAGCGATCTCCCCCAGCCTAAACAACGTACTGTACGCCCTTGGTTAGATAAAATACTTTTTTCAGAACACAAAGCTGTCCTGAAGTAGAAAATGCATAGTAAGAGTTCAAGGGATCTCTGCTGGACATGGCTTCCAGCCCTACCTCTGTCCCTAGGGGTTTAGCCAGGTGCCCCTGAAACAAGGGGTGCTTATCACAGGAATGTGTGGTTTACAGTGCCTCAAAGTCTTTTGAGGCACCATGAAACATGTGGCATGTGTGGATCTGTTTGTTGCACTTGATATTTACAGCACAGCAGCAAAATTAAATACCAGGAAATCCCAGTAGCTAAACAAAAAAACAACCACTGTGGCGGGGCGGGGGAAGGCAGCACGGCACATGTAGTTTCATCATGTGCTGCCCAAAACAGGAGCCTGACTGGGCAGAGCTATGCTTCAGCTGCTGGCCAGGCTGCACGTGCCCATATCACTGCTGCTGGAGGTCAGGGAGCACCCAGGACCCTAGGTAAAGCTGCTAGGGCCAGCCCAGGTGCTGGCCCCAGCCTCTCCTTCCCCACCTGGGGCAATTTGCCTCATGCCAGAGCACTCATGCAGAGGCATGCCCAGGGTCAAGTAGCAGTGACACAAATATATGCCGCTGCTATTTGTCCTTGGGGAAATGCACATTCCCGTTCATGGAGCTGCGCCCATAGAGTATAGTGGGTAATGATTAGAAAGGAATAAAATCATTAAAATATAAAGGATAGGACAAAGGGGAGGGAAGGACAGAGCACTGCTGAGAGAGGTGAAGGTGAGTTGAAGAGATCAAAAGGGATAAATAAAGCCATTAACCTTTTGAGGGAAATAGGGTTATAAAAGCTCATCTCTGTGGGGAGCATGAGAGGGAGGAAGGAGATGTTAGTTCCTCTGTAGAATAAATTTATGGAAATTAAACACTTCCCTTAAGCTCTGCTGATACCAGGGCATTGGCAAGAAAATACAGTAGAAGGCAGGGTAGATTTGCATTGTCTAAACCAGGGGTGGGCAGTTATTTTGGGCAGAGGGCTGCTTACTGAGTTTTGGCAAGCCATTGAGGCCACATGACAGGCAGCCCAGGGCAGATTAATATTAAGTTTCTAAATTTTTTAGGGACCCTGTGGGCCAGATGGAATGGCCTGGCAGGCCACATCTGGCCCTCAGGCCGCATTTTGCCCACCCCTGGTCTAAACTAACTAAATCAGAGATGTGTTCACTTTTGTGAGCAGCATCTTACTTCAAAAGATGCTAAACTGAAAACATTTTATAGGATACATATTGCTGGGCACCAGCAGACCCTGATACCAGGTTGTGACCTCTACTAGTGCTACTGCACTACAGACAATAAAGAAGGATGTAGGCTTTGCCCTGGCTGTCTTTGTTCCAATTTCTGCCTCCTTACAGCATGATTTTTGTTGGGGCATCCTAGATACCTGTTGGTTGTTACTATTCCTATAAGAGGTGGCAACACAGTCCCTCTTTCCATTCAGGTGCCAGTGACAACCAGGCAGCGGGGGTCACAGTACTCCTAAAAGGAGATGAAGTGTCAGGCTGTGTGGGGGTGAATCTTCCACAAGGACCTGCAGAAGGAGCACAGAGACCTAAATTGGCAGGCAGGCCACCAGGCTCTCCCCGTACAGGCGGGGGGAGCATGTGGGGATGGAGCCCTGTGTCTC